ATTTGCCCCACCCCTAAACCATATATATTCTTGTATGAGACAATAAAACAAGTCAAATGAAATATAGGGGGAGTCCCTGGGTGTCGCCCCCATCCCATCCTGTTTTGAGAACTTGTAAACGGTCAAGATCCCCACCCTGAAACCATATATATTCTTGTACGGGACAATAAAACAAATCAAATGAAATAAAAGGTGAGTCCCCTGGGGTCACTCCCACCCCCTTCCTGTTTAAGAACTTGTAAACGGTCGAGATCCCCACCCCTAAACCATATATATTTTTGTATGGGACAATATAACAAGTCAAATAAAATATAGGGGGAGTCCCTGGGTGTCACCCCCATCCCATCCTGTTTTGAGAACTTGTAAACGGTCAAGATCCCCACCCTGAAACCATATATATTCTTGTATGGGACAATAAAACAAATCAAATGAAATAAAAGGCGAATCCCCTTGGGTCCATTCCCACCCCATTCCTGGGAATGACTAATTATGGGAGCTTTGTTTGGGAGACTTTGTAACAGCATCATGTTACAATTATTTCTTGTATTAAGTAATTTTTTTTTAAAGTCGGAAAAAAAGTTGAACACCCAATCTACACATTTACAACCTATTTGAAATATTACACATCTACCGTTGCAAACTTTCCACAGGTGCTATCCAGCACTTTGATTCCGTAAATTAGCACACCCTGAAAATCCTTTCGTGATGCGGCTCCTCATGGTAAAAAATCCCTTTTTTCACACAATAAGTTCTTTGAAAATAAAAGTAAAATGCAAGTAAAAAAGTCATACTATCTTCTTTCTTGAATTTCTCAGGACTTCTTTACTCTAATAGAAATTTTAATTGTCTGTCCTTTGTAGATATTTTATCTAATTATTGAAGTGTAATTTCATGGACAATGAAAATCTCATTTGTCTGTTATCTTCAAAATACTGCTCATTTACAAGCCTCCAGGGGGCAATTTTTGAAGGCCTTGCGCAATTACTTAAGATCTTTGCACAATTAGTTTCTCTGTTGAATGAATGAGATGAAACATTGAACTCTAATAAAAAATTATGGGCTAACCAGAGAAAAATTGTTTGTTTTTACATCCCAAAACTTGAGAATTTTAGGGATTGTAAAAAAAAATTGCTTATACAAGTAAATTTTTTGAGAAAATTAAGGGGAGATTATTCGAACTTCATAAGAAAATATGAATATAACAAATTTACTTATATAAGTATATAATAATTTACTTCTTCAAGTAAATAAAAATAACTTGTACAAGTAGTACCCCTGACTGTTATAGGAGTGATTGCCCTTAAATTAGGATTATTTTACCCTCTTTTGTGTTTTGAGCAAAAACTAAAGAAGATAGAGAGAAACTAAACAGACTAAATGATCAGCAATACAAGATCAACAAAACAGAGATTTTTGTCATGAATTCTATCCTCAACAATGTTGGAGAGTGTCCTTTGTTGAATATGCATATAGACCAAGGTGAACGACACAGACTCTTTAGAGCCTCTAGTTTTTTGTGGGTACCAATTTTTCATGAATTGAGGACAAATTATATTTTCATGGACACTTAATTTCATGGTTTTGGCAGAGTGCATCCAAGGCTATATTTCATTTGTACTTTGTTGAACATTTAAATTCATGGTTATAAACTTAGCTAATACCCACAAAATCCACACAAATTTGTATCCAATGAATATTAATGAATCTATGTAAAAAGGATAAATAAATCACCAACAATAATATAACAGTACAACAACCCTACCAACCACCAATACCTGACTCCTCCAAAACAACAACAAAAACACAAACCAAGACAAACAAAAATGAACAACACATTGTCCAGGAAGCCAGACTTGTCTCTGAGTTATAAGTTTTTTTGATATTCAGCATGAGCAGAATTTTAATCATCAGACTATTTCCTGCCACTGGAGTGTATACATGTCAGCATATTTACTTTAAATTGAAAACTTTTTGCAAATACTTTCATTATTGAAATATTAAAATCATTATATCATACACTACGAAGTACTAGGGGTAATAGTTTTTAACCAGTCTGTCAGTCATCTTGGTTTCAGTATGATAAACAAATTCTTTATATCATATTGCAACCTTACTTGAATATATGGTCACCTATAATGAGATGAAAATCTCAATTGATTTTAAGGGCACCTAATTTAAGGTCAAGGTCGTAGTTACTTGAAGTAGACTTAAATTAATACAGTAGAGAGTTTCCTGATTATAACTCTAGAACTTTAAATAAGATGGAACCGAACTTGCATATATGGTCAAATGTAATGAGAGGATCCCTATTGATTCTGAGATCAATATGTCAAGGTCATAGTTGATAAAGATAAACAGAAATAAGTGCAGAAAAGATGTTACCTGATGATAACTCCAGGACCTTACATTGGATCAGAACAAAACTTGGATATGTGGTAACATATCAGGGGAGCAAGATTGCATTGATTTAAAAATTAGAAATAAGTTATTTGCGTGGGGTTTTATGACTTTGCTCACTAAAGTTCTTTCATTGATAAAGGTAAGCAACAATTTCCTTTCAAAATAGTTGACTTTATAGCCTGAACATTTTGAACCACTATGTAGTATTTGTTTAATGATTTGTAGGACTTGTAGCCTGAACATTTTGAACCACTATATAGTATTTGTTTAATGATTTAGAGGACTTGTAGCCTGAACATTTTGAACCACTATGTAGTATTTGTTTAATGATTTGTAGGACTTGTAGCCTGAACATTTTGAACCACTATTTAGTATTTGTTTAATGATTTAGAGGACTTGTAGCCTGAACATTTTGAACCACTATATAGTATTTGTTTAATGATTTAGAGGACTTGTAGCATGAACATTTTGAACCACTAAATAGTATTTGTTTAATGATTTAGAGGACTTGTAGCCTGAACATTTTGAACCACTATATAGTATTTGTTTAATGATTTAGAGGACTTGTAGCCTGAACATTTTGAACCACTATATAGTATTTGTTTAATTATTTAGAGGACTTGTAGCCTGAACATTTTGAACCACTATATAGTATTTGTTTAATGATTTAGAGGACTTGTAGCCTGAACATTTTGAACCACTATATAGTATTTGTTTAATGATTTAGAGGACTTGTAGCCTGGACATTTTGAACCACTATATAGTATTTGTTTAATGATTTAGAGGACTTGTAGCCAGGACATTTAAAACCACTATATAGTATTTGTTTAATGATTTAGAGGACTTGTAACCTGAACATTTTGAACCACTATATAGTATTTGTTTAATGATTTAGAGGACTTGTAGCCTGAACATTTTGAACCACTATATAGTATTTGTTTAATGATTTAGAGGCCTTGAAGCCTGAACATTTTGAACCACTATATAGTATTTGTTTAATGATTTAGAGGACTTGTAGCATGAACATTTTGAACCACTAAATAGTATTTGTTTAATGATTTAGAGGACTTGTAGCCTGAACAATTTGAACCACAGTATAATATTTGTTTAATGATTTAGAGGACTTGTAGCCTGAACATTTAAAACCGCTGTATCCTATTTATTCATTATTTTGTAGGACTTGTAGCAAGGACATTTAGAGACCACTGTATACTATTTATTTATCGTTTTGTAGGACTTGTAGCAAGGACATTTAGAGACCACTGTATACTATTTATTTATCGTTTTGTAGGACTTGTAGCAAGGACATTTAAAACCGCTGTATCCTATTTATTCATTATTTTGTAGGACTTGTAGCAAGGACATTTAGAGACCACTGTATACTATTTATTTATCGTTTTGTAGGACTTGTAGCAAGGACATTTAGAGACCACTGTATACTATTTATTTATCGTTTTGTAGGACTTGTAGCAAGGACATTTAGAGACCACTGTATACTATTTATTCATTATTTTGTAGGACTTGTAGCAAGGACATTTAGAGACCACTGTATACTATTTATTTATCGTTTTGTAGGACTTGTAGCAAGGACATTTAGAGACCACTGTATACTATTTATTTATCGTTTTGTAGGACTTGTAGCAAGGACATTTAGAGACCACTGTATACTATTTATTTATCGTTTTGTAGGACTTGTAGCAAGGACATTTAGAGACCACTGTATACTATTTATTTATCGTTTTGTAGGACTTGTAGCAAGGACATTTAGAGACCACTGTATACTATTTATTTATCGTTTTGTAGGACTTGTAGCAAGGACATTTAGAGACCACTGTATACTATTTATTTATCGTTTTGTAGGACTTGTAGCAAGGACATTTAGAGACCACTGTATACTATTTATTTATCGTTTTGTAGGACTTGTAGCAAGGACATTTAGAGACCACTGTATACTATTTATTTATCGTTTTGTAGGACTTGTAGCAAGGACATTTAGAGACCACTGTATACTATTTATTTATCGTTTTGTAGGACTTGTAGCAAGGACATTTAGAGACCACTGTATCCTATTTATTTATTGTTTTGTAGGACTTGTAGCCTGGACATTTAGAGACCACTGTATACTATTTATTTATCGTTTTGTAGGACTTGTAGCAAGGACATTTAGAGACCACTGTATACTATTTATTTATCGTTTTGTAGGACTTGTAGCAAGGACATTTAGAGACCACTGTATACTATTTATTTATTGTTTTGTAGGACTTGTAGCAAGGACATTTAGAGACCACTGTATACTATTTATTTATTGTTTTGTAGGACTTGTAGCCAGAACATTTAGAGACCACTGTATACTATTTATTTATCGTTTTGTAGGACTTGTAGCAAGGACATTTAGAGACCACTGTATACTATTTATTTATCGTTTTGTAGGACTTGTAGCAAGGACATTTAGAGACCACTGTATACTATTTATTTATTGTTTTGTAGGACTTGTAGCCAGAACATTTAGAGACCACTGTATACTATTTATTTATCATTTTGTAGGACTTGTAGCAAGGACATTTAAAACCACTGTATACTATTTATTTATCGTTTTGTAGGACTTGTAGCCAGAACATTTAGAGATCACTGTATAGTGTTTATACAAACAAAGAAACAAGCACACAGAATGCATATAGTGTTAGGATTACTGGGGGTAAATGTTGGAGAGCTCCATGGAAATCTCTCTCAAGCTCAGGTAAGAATCCAGGCACAACATGTGCACAGTAATGGTATAACAGATGTAAACAACTGGGAACTTCATAGGAAATTCTTATAGATTTAATGTTTTGAAGATTGATTTTTTCGTGTTAAATGCCACTTTCAATACTATTGGCTATTTTGTGGCTGCCAGTTTTTATTGTAAGAAATATTTGAAAGTCCTCAAAATCAATATCTAAAATGCCATTTCTGTGGATTTGTTATTATTTGAGGAATACCAATTTTGATGGATATTGTTGGTATATATGTAAACCACAAACTTAAATGTTCAACGAAGTGCCCATTTTCTATAGGCTTGTATGCAGACTTTTTTCAAAACCATGAAATCAAATATCATAAAAAAAAATACAAGTTTTACCTCACTCCACCAAAATTGGTTCCTACAAAAATAATTGAATTCACAGTATATCTGGATAGTATTTTTAAATGTGATGATGGAAATAACAAAAATATTGTGTTTCAGAGGTTGGAAAGCTTAAAGATGTTTAAAGAAGGATTGATAGATGTTTTATTAGCGACAGATCTGGCAGCTAGAGGTTTAGATATAGAGGGTGTTAAAACTGTAAGTTTAGCTTCATATCAAGAAAATTAGAGGAAGATGATAAGAAATAAAAACATAATTTCCTTTGATTAGAATTATTGATTTATGTTTACATGTTTTTCTGGTAATATGGAAAACAGTAAAATAATATTTGACAGTTTTATTTTTTGCTACTTTCACAGTGCATTTTTTTAAACTATTGTGAAATTAACAAAGACATTTTGAAAAACATGAAATAATATCGACACGATTTCCAACCTCAAAACAGCAAAAGAGGATGGCATAAAAATTTTGCTGTATACAATAAGTAATTATAATGGGAAATTTGGTTCAATTTTGCCTTTAGAAATTATTTTCTTGCAAAACTCTGACAATTTTAACAATATTGTGAGACATGAGAGATCAAGAATCATTCATCAACAAGCTGTAATTATTTTAGCTTTATTAGTTTAAAAATTAATGCTGTGCAGAAGAAAAAAACTGTACCCGTCGTACAAGGGCTGATGCAAAAGTTTGCAGGGAAGTTGCTCTAAAGACTGGTGACATTAATAGTCTTATATGGCCCCAAGATTGATACAAATTTATAAATTCTGATGATGAAGGTTGTACAGCTTTAAATATTCTATAAGAAATACAACTTTCAGAGATAAAGAAATATATCTATTTTATTCCTTACAATAGTCATATTTATAGTTGCTTACTTCTTTCATTTGGTCTCTGGTAGATATTTATCTCATTGGCATCATACCACATCATCTTATTTTAATATGACATCTTCAGGTTCTGACACTTATTTTGAAGAATTACCAGAATCTTTAAACTTTAATTATAATTTGCATACCTACTTTTTATTTGGAAAGTCTTCCCCTACATCATCTATATGATTGTTAGAGGAATCACCATAGAAAAATATGCTTTCCATTATCAAAATTAAGTTGCATAATGAAAATCAGTGAAAATAATATATAAATGTACTGGCAAATAAAAATCTGATTTTTTTCTAGGCAGATGAACTGAATTTACCCTTTTATTTTATTGTAATTTTCATTTTATTTATCACTTTTTATGATTGGTTTTCTATTTTCAGGTGATAAATTTTACCATGCCCAACTCATTGAAGCATTATGTACATCGAGTGGGTCGAACTGCCAGAGCGGGAAAAAAAGGGAGGTATGTATTGCTTAAAGCCAATATGCATAGAAAATAATGCTCTAGGTATTAATCATAAATTGGCAGAGGGAGGTGTATTTTTTATCACTGCTTAGGTAGTTTTTACTGTCAATAATTTTTTTTTTTTTTTCATAAACTATTTCTCCAATGTCCATTTTGATGTCATATATTTTTGATGACACTAATATTGTTTATTAAAGGATAAGATTGTTTTATTACATTTTTAACACTGATTCAAGAAAATGGATTGCCGAATTAAAAGTAGTAGGCACACTTTTTTTAATTTAAGAGCTCTATACATGTAGTTTAATGTTTTCATTATAATGTTTTGGTGGAAACTTTCATTTATTTATATATTAAGATTTTTCAATAAGTTTGACATAAAATTAAATCTAAAATTATCCATCCTTCTCTTTTGATAATTGTATTCCACTAAATAATTTAGAGAAGCTTTAACTACTGATCATAAAGCAGTTTAGATTTTGATGGAAGTCCTTTTTTTTTTAAATTTAATCATTACTTTCTTTCAAACTGTACCCTCCAACTGTTTTAGACAAAGACTTGACCATAGTTATATGCAGATAAAAGAAATCTCATTGTCTAACCCAATATCTTTTATATCCAGAGATTTTATAGTTTAATTTTTTTCTTTTTCTTCAAGATCAGTGACACTTGTTGGAGAGCAAGAAAGAAAAATGTTAAAAGAAGTAGTGAAACATGCTAAAACACCATTAAAAACACGGGTGATACCTCAAGGTTCGTATATTGGTTTATGGAGGTTCATAATAATTTTAGTGTAGATGGTATGCCTCCTGTTTGTATACCAATTGACTTGGTGGTTTCAAGGTAGCATACTGGCCTTGAGTGTGAAAGGTCATGTATGGGTTTGCTCCCTGGAATGCCAAAGACTTTTAAATTGATATAAACTTCTTCACCACCAGGCCTGCTCTATGTTTGAATAAGAATAAAGACTGGTTGGCACTAGAAGCATGTTAAAAATCAGACTCTGGTGTTTTACAAAGCAGGGTATATTCATATTTCGTTTGCATGGTACCTTTCTAGATATGCATGAATTATTTGCCACTAGATGTTAAGCAGCCACCAATAAATCAATTGATGTTCTATGCAACTAGCTTTTGTACTTAAGTTGCTTTGAAGTTTGATTCTGAACTTTGAACTTTACATCTTCTTTGCCTTCCTTAGTTGATAAATGTAATTAGATACTTTAATTCAATCGATGTAAACATGAATTTGTCAACATAAAATTTCAATAAAGGAACCAAGATTAGGGAAACTGAAAATATCTCAAGAATTTCTAATTAAAATACAAGAACACTATACTTTTATGGTCAAAGTTCATAGAAAATATTAGTTACTTTACATTCTATGCTTCAGTAGCCTAAATGGAAATGAAAAAAGAGATATGCAAAAATATTATGTTTAATACCAGTTTATTAAACCCTAGTAGATTTTATGTTTTATTTCAAGATAAAATTGAAAAATAACCCCTACTGTCTGATATAGAAAATAAAATGTACACTAAATATGAAAACACATTTCAGTTTGACTATTGACCAAAAAGGTACAATTATCGATAAGATGCAATTAGGTCATGGTTATATTGACTGAAAACCTACTCATCTATTTCAGACATAAAATTTCATTTCTATGTCCTTTTTCTCTAACAGAAGTGATAGGAAAGTACAGAGACAAAATAGGCAAGTTAGAATTAGATGTGAAGGAAATAGAATGGACAGAACAGGAGGAGAAAGAAATGAGAGCAACAGAAAACCAGATAAATAAAGCAAATAATCTGCTGGAAAATCCAGGGGATCAACACAAACGTGACTGGTTCCAGACTCACAAACAAAGAATGCAAGAAAAGGGTAGGAGCAATTATTATCAATGAAAACCAGTCTTGATTATTTACAGGGTTTACATAATACCTTATGTAAGGAAACTATATCAAAGATAAAGATGTACAAATCAATTCAAAAATGGATGCACCATATGTTATAATTATTTTTAGAATAAAATACAAAGCAGGTACAGAACTGAACATAATTATTTTAATTCAGGTGATAATTGTTTTATGTGTTATATTTTGTTATAGTATAAACAGAGTACAAGAGAAATTCTGTATATGGCGTCTTGTTTTTACAGCTTTAATAAAAGGAGATCTGAAGGATATGTCAATGAGATAGCTACCCAATGACAAAAATAAACAAAGATATCTTTGGAGGGCAACATACCATCTTCAACAATAGAAAGGTGTCTCAACAATATAACAAGCTCTCAATTGTCTCAGGTCAATAAAAGTAAATAGATCAGAAAACTAGAGGCTTCCAGCAGTCTGAATTACTCACCTGGCAAAAAACATGCACCATTAAAATCATTAGCAACAGTGGCAGTCATCTTTCTAACACTAAGTAATATAAAAATAAGGAAATGTGGTGTGAATGCCAATGAGACAACTATCTACCAGAGTTCAAATGATATGGATATAAGTAATTATAGTTGACCCCAAGACATAAGATTGTTACCAATACAAGATCAACAATGCACATAGATCTTAGTCATGAAATATATGCTAGTCTTTAATGTTGGAGAGTGGCCAATGCACATAGATCCAGGTGGGTCTTAGAGCCTCTAGATATTTATTCAGAAGCAGGGTATAAACCATCATCAGATGAAAGAGTTTTTTCCAGTTGTAGGTAAAACATTTGTAAAAAGAAGCAAATAAAACTTCCTTCATTTCGAATAATCTGTATATTTCTAGCTGATCAGAGACTTGGTGAATTTTCGTTATCCAAGAAAAAGAATATGAAGAAAGAAAAAAAAGTTGTGACGGTGAGTTCTTCTTCATTTAATATAAGTGCATGGTTTTGGTTTAAAAAAATTGTACCACAAGAAGAAAACCATGGGATTCCAATCACAGCATGCCACTGTGCTATTAGATAAGCCAGAGGCAGTCTTCACTTATGTAGCTAATGGAACATGTTATCATAAACGTGTATCTACTATGGCCAAGGAAAGCACCACATCATTTATATAGCAAAAGTCAGAAATCTCTGTAACATAAATATTTCCATTTATGAATAAACATAATAAATGAAGAAGTGGGGTGGGTATAGTAACCCAATGGCACAAAAAAACATCTTCCATAATATATAATAGATATATGAGAGATGGAAACACCAAGTATTCTGAAGATATACAATGGCATTTTGTGACTACACAATATCTTAAACTATAAAATACAGATATGATTTATTTAACATTTATTATTGAAAAGAGTTGTGGCCCTTTCTTGTCTGAAAAATTGAAAAAAAGTTCAAAGATTGCTTAACTCCCCTTTTATGTTGCCTGAAGTCTGTTGGGGCAGTAAAATTACCTACTTAATAAATGCGCCTCCGGGTGCGGGATTTTCTCGCTGTGTTGAAGACCCATTGGTGGCCTTCGGCTGTTTTCTGCTCTTCGTCGGGTTGTTGTCTCTTTGACACATTCCCGATTTCCATTCTCAATTTTAAAAATGTTTGTTGATATTGATTATTGCAATTGTTGTACAATTGACAATATATGTGAGATCAATTTATACATTGATTACAGAAATAAAATGCTGCTTACAAATAATACTAACAAAATTTAGAATGTGAGTTTCATTTTTGTGAAGCCAATGGTAACATGTTGCAGAATTGTGATAGTTGATTCTTAATTTTCAGACATATTTTCATGTTTTGGCAGTCCTTATTTTGTTTAAAAAAGTACACATAGGGTGAAAGTATGTAGTTATGGTCAGTTTTCTATTTATTACATATATTATATAGCCTTGTAGTATATTATTTACTGGTATATATTACAGTCAGAAGACAGAGTGAAGAATGAGTTATTAAAATCTGAGTTGTATGCTGCAAGAATAGCAAAGAAAGAACGTAAACCTAAAAAGATGAGAGCATTTGGGGAACATATAGGTAAGTGTTTGTACTCTGTCCTAGTGAAGTATGGCTTTAATGAAATTATAAGTAACTATTTACAGTATCGTCTCGTATTGTGTTTTCGACCGTCTTACGTTTTCGACCTAATTCTACTTTCACTTCCCGTATGCTGCGCATGCCCGTGTGACGTCACATTTGGCTGCTATATTTAGTAACAATAGCAAATAATACCACATGTGGTGAAGATGTTTCTAGTAAAGTTATTATAATTAAGTATTTACGTTATTTTATTTGATATCACATTTTTGTACCTTTTCACTAATACTATTTTTACCTTCCAAAAGAATCTATCAAAAATAAACAAATATTCTAGAAATATGGCCGAAGACTTTTAGCATGTGAAGTTAACATCAAGGTCATTACGTCACATGACTGTCATGTGGTTAGGTGATATACTTAAAAGTTATTTTTAATACGGAAATGTGGATGATCCTTACAGCTTTTTGCTGAAAAAAATAAAATATCAATTAATTTTAATTCACAGAAACAGGGGAGATTACAGACAATACTCACCAACCTCACTTCACAATGCCTTCACTAAAGTATATTGAACAGAAACATGACTGTATACAAGGTCCTACAAGGATCTACGAGGTTTCCAAAGTGCCTCATGTGAAATGTGTACAACTAGTCAAATAAAGATATCAAAATAATATTTTATATCTTATAGTTGTATATGTCACCATTTAATTCATTAATTCATAAGTTTGATCGCCTCTAAAACTTTAAATAATTTGATATAAACATTGGCATCAAATTATAACCAATTCCGGATTTGTACGACATGTCATTTCCGACTTTGGACCCGTTTCTTAGATAGGTCGAAAACACAAGACGCTAGTTTTTGTCAACAAAGGTGCCATCGATCTAATGAACTGAAATAAAAAAAATATTTAAGATCGAAATATATTTTAGATACAATTATTTAATGTATAAGTATACTAGTGACTCTAAAAAATATTAGGCATGTATATGTTCAAACATATTAAAGGGGAAATATTGATAAATATGTAAGTAGGTCGAAAACACAATACACGAGGATATATTTTGAGAAGATTCTCATGTCTCTTTTTCTCCAATCAAAAGTGAAATGCCTAACAGTCTGTGTGAATTCATTATATATGAAAATCCTGTAAAAACATAAAAAAACTGGTTCATTTTACTTATTGCATTCATTTTATTTCATCGTCTTGTTTCAGTGAAACTTGCTAAATCTGCAGTAAAATGTCAATACAATCAGGAATCAGATGATTTGTTTCCATGGTTATGGTTTGAATTTCTTTATTATGAAACCATAACTTACCCTAAATCAAGAAAAGGATAACTATTTTAAAAATACAACCGAGATCAAGATTTGTATTATCTGTTTCATTCTCAATACCAAAACTCTTTATTAAAAGAAAAAACAGGAATAGGATAGGACTAGATCCTAATAACAGTGTAATCTGAGTAAGCCAGAACTCAGATATATATGATTTACTGAATGTAATATACTTCATGTATAATAAATTTGCTTGTATATTCACAGATAAATCTAAGAAAAAGAAGAAACAAAAGATAAAGAAGTCTGCATTTGATGAAGAACTAACTAGTACTGGCAGGACAGCTTTGAAAAAGTTCAGGGCTGGGTTGGTATTTTTACACAAGTACTCTTTAAGTATATATTTTTGGAATGGATCAACTGGTACACAGTTTCTTACGGGCATACATTTTGTAAAATTTAATTTTGCAAATTTTTACAGGAAAAAAGGAAATGTAAGGTCTATTTATTTTAAATTTGAATAATAAAATATGAGATATCAAATATAATTCCTATTAAGTTGCATTTCTAGCTTAACTTTTCCATAAAATCCATCAATTCTTTGTCGAGCTATATCCCTGCTATATATGACATCCTATTTTGGCATTCTGTTATCCCCCATGTTAAAATACTCAATTTACAATAACCCACAGAAAATGATAACGTCACAATACATTTTGTGTACTAAACATAAAAAAAAATCAATAGCGTTGTCTAATGCAGCACTAGTAATTTTTTTGTACATTTTGCCTCTGCAGTGATCTTGCGTTCTCAATTATTCTCTTTTGTTGTGTATCTGCATCATTGAAAGGTACATCCTATCTCCATATCTCAAACACACACTTATTTTTACAGCACAAACCTGTTTAATCATTAATGTGTTATCTAATTTTCTTGCAAGTAATGAATTTTATTTTACAATTATCAAGAGCATTAAAAAAAAAAAAAAAAAAGTTAAAAAAAAAAAAACAATTATCAAGAGTTACCTATATAAAGAATAGATGCTGAAACCATAATTGTGCAAGTTTAAACTTTAGTAAATCTCAGTCATATTCACCTGAATCAAGCTATTTTCCCCAAAGCAATTTAATTTTATTTCAAGCATGATTTATGATAAAGTCAAAATATAATAGACCACTTTTAGGAATCTTGGTAAACATTTAAATTGTTTTTGGTGTAATTGATCTGAGCTAAATTAGATTCCTACAGGTTATAGAAGTTAACCAATATATAGTCAATTTGACCATCACATACCCTCAGTAAAAGATTATATTGTTGCATATTTATGAGTCTATTGATAATTTACAGGCCTTCATATCAAGAAAGAAAGGAGATGGGTATGGTAGGAAAGAAACCTAAAGGAAAACAGTCGCAAGTATTTATAATGCAGTCATTTATTAAATTCCCTGTTTATGGGAGCATGGGATTTATGATAGTTGTGTCCATTCATCTGTTAACTGGTCCACAACTGCAAACAACAGCTCAGAAACCAGTACCTAAGTGGATTTCAATGAAAACTTCAAAATGTCTTCAGTATATAAGAGCATTATACACATCCTGTTTTATTTAATGATCCTGGAGATTTTTTGGTGGAGGGGAGGAGTGTTGAATTGTTTTGCCATGTAAGATAACTGAGATACAGACCTAATCCTAAAACTTAAACCTGACAAATGGAGCATGAATATAAGGTCAAAGTCATATGCATCATATTCAGACAGATACTCCTCAAAATAAATAGAGAATATCATACGACTTTTTCAATATCACATCCATATCAACCCAAAACAACAATATAATCCCACCAGTTCTGCTCGAGGGATTATATTGGTTGAGGGTTGATACTGTGTTGTCTGTGTGCGATATTGAAAAAGTCGTATGATATTCTGTATTTATTTTGAGGATTAAATTTTTGTCCTTGGTTTCTTCTTGTTTTTCTTAGATTATCTGTTAAAGATTTAACAAGCATATTTATTATATATAAAAACTATATAAACAGCATATCAATAGCCTCATTGGCTGAATGGTCTAACTTATTAATCTACTGTATCACAAGCCTGTCAACACTTAGGTTGCTAGTTTGAACCCTGCACGTGGCAGGTGCGTTTGACTCCAAACTTAATTGACTAGGATTTCCAGTTTCCTGCTGAAGGTCTGTGGTTCTTTTCCGGGCACTCAGACTACACCAATGAAAACTGACCACATGGTATAGCCAATAGTGCTGAAAGTGGCGTTAAAAACCAACAATCAATCATATCTTATAAATAATCTTTTTATTGTAAATCCTATACAATATGTCTGCATCTGTAATATGCAAATATGTCTTCTTTTTTTTTATGCCCCCGCCGTAGCGGAGGGGGCATTAAGTTTTACCCTTGTCCGTCTGTACGTACGTCCGTCCGTACGTCCCGAAATTGGTTTCCGTTCTCTAACTTGAGTTTGCCTCAACCAAATGTTATGAAACTTATACACAATGCTTATTACCACAAAACACAGATAAAGTTTGAATTTTGGTGGCGTCACTTTAACTGATCTAGAGTTATGCCCCGTTATAAAAGGAAATATTGCAAAATTTTTAGTTTCCGTTCTCTTACTTAAGTTTGCCTCAACCAAATGTTATGAAACTTATACACAATGCTTATTACCACAAAACACAGATCAAGTTTGAATTTTGGTGGTGTCACTTTAAAGAATCTAGAGTTATGCCCCTTTATAAAAGGAAAAATTGCAAAATTTTTATTTTCTTCTAAATATCAAGTTTATATAATATATTTTTAAAATTGGAGTTATCTTCCTTTGACCATGATTATAGTTGAATCAACTACAATCAATGCTTTATACAATGCAATGTTTAATTTTGACTTCCACTGATAAAACACAGATCAAGTTGAATTTGGGTAGTGTCACTTTAACCATTATTGAGTTATGCCACTTTATAAATAGAACGATTGCAAAATTTTTTAGTTTCCATTCTGTAACTGATGTTTTCCCCAGCCAAACATTATGAAACCTATACACAATATTCATTACCACAAAACTCAGTAAGGATCAAGTACAATTTTTTTGTTTCAGTTCTCTAACTTGAGTTTGCCTCAACCAAATGTTATGAAACTTATACACAATGCTTATTACTACATAATACAGATTAAGTACGAAATTAGGTGGCAACACTTTTACCATTCTAGAGTTATGTCCCTTTATAAACATAAAAATTGCTGAATTTTTTAGTTTGTCTCAACCAAATGTTGTAAAACTTATACACAACCGTTCTAGAGTTATGCGTGTTTACAAATAGAAAAATTGCTGAATTTTTAGTTTCTGTTCTCTACTTAAGTTAGCCTCAACCAAATGTTATGAGACTTACACACAATGCTTATTACCACAAAACTCAGATCAAGTTAAAATTTGGGTAGCGTCACTTTTACCGTTCTTCAGTTATGTCCCTTTATAACTATATGATATGCAAGCAGGGGCATCATCTGTGTCCACATGTGGACACTATCCACATTTATTTATTTAAGAGATAATCCCAAACTTTCATGTCTGATGTAACTTGAGCTAGAATAACTACTGATATTAAAAATGGTTTTCTTCTTGTTTTGTAGAAAAAGACGGTGACAGTGTGCAATAAAGGATTATGGGGAAGATTGGAGAAATGAACATTTGTTGTCATTATGTACATTAAACACTTCTTTTATCTCATTTATGCTTAAATTTGTTTTTATTTCAAGTTGACATAATGTTTCTGTTATGATTTGGGTTATTTTTTATGTTTCCAGAATAAATTTCAGGAGCATGTATAGTAATTGCTTTGTCTGTCCGTCCATCCAGACAAAAAAGAAAAGGATGATCACTTGAATATTCCTTGCTTGATACGAACGAAACATACAAATGGAAGATAAAGGGATGGGGAGAAGAAAAGGCCTAATGATTTAAGGGTCAATAGGTCAAAGGTCAGGAACACTGTTACTTAATATAGAAAAATTTGGATAAAATGGTTTCCAGGTGGTAACTTGAATTTCCTTTGCTTAATTGGAATGAAACTTATACAGATAGATGACAATGGGGAAGAAACCTCTTGATCTTTGGGTCAATAGATCAAAGGACAAGATCATGTACTGAAATTAAATAAAATTTGGTAAAATGGTTTCAAATAACTCGAGTTTCCCTGGCTTGATTGGTATGAATCTTTAATAGACAGATGGAAGATATAAGGAAGGGGAAGAAGACTTGATTTTGGGGTCAACAGATCAAAGTCACCGTTACTAAATAACTAAAAATAGAATGTTTAGCTCACTTGGCCACAAAATATTCTCCTTTGAAACTACTTGGCCAATTGGAAACCAACTTAACCACCATCATTCTTTGCTTATCCAGTTTAAAAAATGTATCCAATGATCCCACTTGCCAACCAAAATGGCACCCAAGGCTAAAAATAACCCATGGGGTTAAAACACAGGTATTGCACTTTATCTTTTAAACTGTTATAGATATAAAAATCTGATAGGGGCAATAATATTTTACTATGCCTACTGTCCATTTGACCAAAACTGGATTACTGCTTATAAGAGTTATTGCCCTTAAGCGATGATTTTTACCATTTTTTTTTTCAATTTTGGCTATTATCTCTGAAGTATAACATAAAAAGAAACTGTAAATGACAGATAATCTGCAGGAAAAGATCTACAAGTAAGTCAATTTGGTCAAAATTATCAGTGGACGCCTCATAGGAGTTATTGCTCTTAAAAGACGAATTATACCCTTTTTGGTGTTTTTGTGGGAACCATAGTGGATGGAGAGAAAGAGTAAACCGCAAAAATGATCATCAAAACAAGATTTACAAGTAAGTTAATTGTCCAAAAAAGTAAATATACTCCTTAATAGTTCTGTGATTTTCATCCATTTTTGCATTTTTTTGTGGAAACTCCCAGATAAAGAGAAACTGTGGACAGTAAAAATTATCAAAAAGGAAGATCTACAATTTAGTTAGCATGGTTGAAATTGTCGTTCTATTTTACCCTTTTTCATGCTTTTAATTTTTGCATACAGAAATAGTAAATAGAGAGAAACTGTACGTAGCAAAAGTTTGTAGCATTCTGCGAAATTGTGGAATTTATCTTTTAGGAATTTTCTATTATTATTAATTGGTATTTCCCTGGACGGTTAGATGGTGTTTCAATTCATAAATATAGCATATTAGTGAACTTATTACATTGTGTACACAATGATTCTCCAAGATAGTGAATGAATAATATTACAACAGAACAGAACAGAACTTGAAAGATTGGAAAATGGCATTGTCTACCGTTTCAGTGCAATAAATTATAAACCATTGAACCAATTCTTTTTCTCAAATCTGAATTGGTTGCTACTGATGACAAAATGGAGGTCCGGTTTCAGTATTTACAATTTTCGTTTTTGCCTTTCAAGAGTAATGGTCCTTGAAAGATGGGGAAAATAGCATTTTGTGTCGTTTCAATGCAATATAAACTTGATGAACTGATCAGCCAATGGTTTTCAAATTTTAATTTGTTGTTAATGATGACAAAATGGAGTTCAAGTTTGATATTAATTATTTTTATTTTTACCATCTAGTTGTGGTCCCAGATAGATTGGAAAATAGGCACATATCAAAGTGGCAGGTTGAAGAAGCCTGAAAGAGCCATACATTAGAATACATCGATTTTATATGTACTAGCATCCCTCTTTTAACAATGGTTACCTTCAAAATACAGACAACCCTGTTTTCTGTAAATTTGAAAGCTCATTTCTTGTTTTTTTAGCTCACATGGCCATAAGGCCAAGTGAGCTTTTCTCATCACTTTGTGATCCGACATCCGTCAGGTTATCTCGAAAACTGTAAGAGATGGATAGAAACTTTAAATAGCACAAATGATCAGCAAGATAAAATCTACAAATGAGCCATTATGGCCGAAATCTTCTGTCGACTCGTTTTGGAGTTATTGTCCGTTAATGATAATTAGAGCCTCTACTTTTTATATCTAGTAACTTAATTGTTGAGAGTACAAATCCACCTGCAGTTGGAATTAGATCTTTGGACAATATACATGCAATAATGCAGTGTGACAGGACATAGCAAGAAAAGGTACCTTAATCCCCGGAAATGACTAAAATTTTATAATTATACCCCTGCTCCAAGGTAGAATGAGACATGGTCTACCTTTGAACATCCTTCTTCCGGTCTGCAACACATTTTTTTGACACATTTTTCAGCAACTAGATATCAGTGTTTCTTGATATTTAGCACTGAGCTCTTATTCATGGGGAACTATACTGTGAGACACACATAACTATGACCTGCTTACATCAAATTGATATGCCTACAACATATTTTCATCACATTTTTCACAGAAAGTACAAACCAATTCTCTTATTTGAAACTAACCTTTTTCAATCTCTTTTTACATCCTATTTTCTGCCTAAATATGTTTCATTCACATTGATGCACATTAAGAAATTTGTGTTTCACATTACCAATCCAAGCTTCTAGATATCTGGTACCAAGTTTCTAGAGATCTGGTACCAAGCTTAATATTGGTAAGCTATAAGGTGTGATGCATTTTCAGATCTGTAACTTATCTACTTTGTTTTCATGATGAATGTATGTTCAATACAGTTACATTATCATGTTCTCGTCTTGAATATGCATTCAATTTTCCATTGGGCATTATACAAGCATCCATCAATCATCTTTAAACGGATGCATATAGAAGACATTTTGTTCACATTTTTCTCAGCAAGTACAAATGACACCTTCATGATATTTGGTACAAAGTTTTATACTGCTAAAATAAACCATGTTCTTATTTTCTTTCTGTTGTTTAACATTGTCTGGTATATTTATTTACTTTCAATTTACCTTCCAGGATTTAGTTTTTTAGCAGTGTTACCTTTTTCATCTTAAATTTTTTTTCTATTAGTTTTGGGGTAAGAATACAAGTAACAAAATGATCTTTTGCATAAATACTCTTGTATCGTTTTTTTTTTTTTTTTTATATGAAGAGTTTTTATTTTTTTGTTCAGGTATTTGTCTTTTTAACTCCTTTGACAGTTTTCAAGCTAGAGCATTTCTATTTAACACAAGTCAAAAGGTGTGCATATCATCAGATTTTTTTCTTTTTTTTTCTATTGATCACACATAAAAGCTGTCGCATGTCCAGCATTGTGGATATCTGTAAATTACAATCCCTATTATGTACCATATACATTAACCCATTCAAGTAGAAGTATGCTAAAAAGCTGTGTTCAAACCTGCCAAAATTTTCAAGTGGGTGCCTTACATCAGGATTGGGATTTTGCTGTCTTTCAAGATATTTTGGTTCACCTAGGATGCCGAATGAATAATGGAAGATTTCAGTGTTGTACACTGATGATTTAACTTCAATAGTTATAAATTCTTCAGTGGAAATACAAAAGTGGCTATATAAAAAATACAGAATTATGATGGCAAAGCCTTTATTTTTTTCAACTGTATCTAAAAAATTGATAGTTTATACAAATAAAATGATCAAGAGGTAACTCTATACACCAACAACTGAACTATATCTGTCATAAAAATATCGTAAAAGTTTTAGGACGGATTAATCTGTGTGAAGACATAAATATATCAGACTGATCAGTAGAGTTTACAATTTGTTAAATGTTAACCAGTGTTGGAATTATTTCTTTAAAATCAGATGGCTTTTTTGGGTCACTTATACTTAAAACTTTGCTTAACTTTTTCTCTACTACTATACAATACAAAAAGTGCAACAACTTATTACAGGATTTCATCTTGATTGCTGGTGACTAGAGATAAAAAGTGTCATTATTTATTAAAGGATTTCATCCGGATTGCTGGTGACTAGACATAAATTTTGTTTTCAACCAATGGTTATAGCTATTTTCAACAATAAATTAATTTAGCATTAAGTAAAACAAGAAATATCGAATTGGAAATGCAAACTTCTAAACAAAAATTTCTGATTTTTCTGCCATTTTTATTTTCTTTTTCTTCTTCCAATTCTTGGATTTACTTGGCGATTATTTTAGTCTGTTACAAAGCATATATTCATAAAAGACTTTTTTTAACTTAATTTCTTTATATTCAAATTGTCATCACGGATGATTGACATATATTCCTAGATGTAACAATTCGTGATTTATTGTTATAAGATGCGATTCTTTTCTTATTGATTGTTGGTGATTATAACTTTTAAAAGAAATGAAAATATTAATCTACAATATCATCTATTGTATGGCAAATGATTATTAAAACTTCTGATGACAATTAATAAACTAAAGAAAATATCAACTGACAAAGCCTGTGGAGTTATAAAAAAATGGTGTCGAGGCCATAGTTGTGATATTTAAAAACAAATAGTCTGAAGGGGGAAATTAAGTTTGTTTTGATAGTAAAATACTAGTGTGTTCCTGATTTGAAACTTAAGGAAAATTGATAGTAAAATACTAGTGTGCTCCTGATTTGAAACCTAAGGAAAATTGATAGTAAAATACTAGTGTGTTCCTGATTTGAAACTTAAGGAAAATTGATAGTAAAATACTAGTATGTTCCTGATTTGAAACTTAAGGAAAATTGATAGTAAAATACTAGTATGTTCCTGATTTGAAACTTAAGGAAAATTGATAGTAAAATACTAGTATGTTCCTGATTTGAAACTTAAGGAAAATTGATAGTAAAATACTAGTATGTTCCTGATTTGAAACTTAAGGAAAATTGATAGTAAAATACTAGTGTGTTCCTGATTTGAAACTTAAGGAAAAAAGAACACAAATAGCTAAAATTCATAGACTTAAAAGATAAATACAAAAGTATAAATTATTACATATGCTTGATGGAGTTCATTTTTTGTTCTTATATTTGTTACTACCTATAAAACAGATGATTTTTTGGATAAAAAGCATGTGGTAAATTGTAAAGGTCAAAAATTTCATTTAAAGTCAATTATTAAAAAGAAACGAAGAAAAAAAACAACCCAACTATAGCCTCAACAACCAACAAGTATAATCAACATCATTCAGTATATTAAATATTTCATAAATGTTAAAATTTACTGGATGAATTTTCTGACAACCTAAAGATCCAAAATATATAATTAATAAAAATTCTCTAACCTTCAAATGAGTTATAATTAATAACAATTAATACAAATAAAATGAAACAAGTACAAAAATTAACAAAATATACAGCAATAGGGTTCATATAAATACTGATATTATGTAAAAACAAATACTCTCATGGACTCAATAAAAAGGTTTTTACTCTCATGTACTTAATAGAAAGGTTTCTACTCATGGACTCAATAGCAAGGTTAATAAAGTATTCTTATATTAAACTGAAAAAAATCACAACTGGTTTTTATATAAAGAGGACAAATTATCACCGATTTTATAAAGATTTTTGAGTGTTGCTGGGTTAATGTCAAGTGGCAATTGATTTCATAAAGACTGGACAGACATAATTTAAAACCTAATTCCAAACAGGAACAAGAGATAATAATGTTGCAACTAGAGGCCCATATTTGCCTATAAATTATATTTACAGCAAGAATATAACTAAGAAGAGTCCTATCTGAGCAAGCAAAAAAAAAGATAGCATATAGATTGTCTAAATATACAAATTTTATTGCTTTAGTTGTTAAAAATACATTTCAACTGAGGATGTTTTTATCACTTCCAGCACAACTCTTTATAAAAAGCACTTTCAACTTAAAAATCAGATATAACAAAACAAAAATACTAACAAATTGTATAATATGGAACCCATATAACTTACAATATTAATCTTGTAAAATATTATTATATTCTTCATGAAAATGATCATAATTCACTTAACATATATAATGCACACAAAACAGATAATTAACATGTATTTGGCAATTGCCACAAATTTGTAAAAAGATGCATATAGTATGTAGTTGGCTGTTGCAGAATTAAAGAAGTATGGCTTATTTTGCATCACGGTTAAGAAGGTATGCTGCTTTTGGGTAACAATCAACAAACTGCAAAGTTATGCAATATACGAATTTACCTAAAAATGCATTAGATTTAGGGAAAGAAATTTAGTATTTACCATCAAAGTATCTACAAAAACATAACATTTCTAAAAAAGTAAAAATATTCTTGATGAATTCAGCAGTGTATTTAATACAATTGAGGAAAATGAAACATGATATAAAATAACTTTAATATGGTGATAAATTAGAAAATGATTATTTTCTTAAATAAAAATATACCTGCATTTTAACATATACATGTTTTGTCTGAATTCACTTACTCAATCATAATAAATCAGTTGTTCAATTTTCTATATCAATTTTCTATATTCAAAATCATTTATTATGACAATTTTCAGTACCGGTACTTTTTTCAGGTCAATACCAATTTCAATCTTTCAGTTAGGAAATATTTCTATAAATCAAGGATGCCAATCTTTGATTTTGTGATGTTTTGTACATATGTATATCTACTGAATCTATCTATTGGGAGACAGATAATTAAACTGATTTAAAAGGTTGATCTTGTTGAATAGTGAACAAATACTCTGAACAGGTTATGTTATTTTGACCCCATGTTTGTCTCTAAATTGGTTATTAATCTATTCAGCCATGATTTTACAGTCCCTGAGGTTCAGACATAATATCAAAATGCAGCTAATTTATATGCTAAGAAATATTTCTACAAATTTCCGAGGGAGAGGAAGGATAACTGAGGTAGAACTTTACGTCACTATGCCATTTCTGTAGCATACACTATGTTCAATACACTCTGAGGAGTCTTTTCAAGGATACAAATGTATGTCATCAAATGATGAGGGCTGTCCATCATTGACATCTATTTATGAATTCTTTATTGTATCAGTAATGATGTACATATAACTACTTACAAAATTATAGTGCTGTAAAATGTTAAAATTGCTTGTACTATTAGTTCCCAAATTATCCCTGTTTACCATAACGATATCAAACAGCCTTTAGACATGTTAGTGGAAGTCATCATTAAAAGAAGAAAACATAAGATCTAACTAGGTTTGTTTTCAATGTAAATTAAACTCTAATAAAACAATTCTGGATAGAAAGATACAAAACTGCATAAATCATATATATAAGTATAAAAAAAATTTAAAAACTGACAAATTGGACGGCTTACACAAATAAATTTACATAGTAAATGCATGATTTGGCTTTATCCTAATCACAGACAATCTTCTTCAAGGACGGTAAAAAGTGCAACATGACAAATCAAGGGTCTGTAGTGAATAAAATATTTCAAAAAAATTAGTTTGGATTTTCTCTACCATTGTCTACTGTCCACAACTAACAGTTACATTAAATTTTCTTTACAAAGCAAAAAACCATTTGTTCAACAGATAATACAATGTATAAAATTTGGACAAATCGAAAAACTTCTCCTTAATTCTTCAAAATATACAATAAATGAGTACAATTAATTCTTAAATCTTTACACGTTTCATTGTTTGATATATTTGAGAATATTACAAGTATTTCTTTTTTCAATAACTTTCACTATAAGCATTAAAAAAAAAATTCCGGTATTTATTATCTCGTGTGAGAAACATTGGTAACTTGCACATACAATGTAAAGTTCATGCATAGACTTCGAAATTAAATTTAATCCCATTACGAAAGAAACATGAAAACTTGGTCTGGCCTTAAATAATTCATGTAAATACACAAGTTTGTACATAATTGACATAAAATGTATATACACATCATATACAGTATGATAATAAATAAAGCACATTCTGATAAAGGGGTCAATATTTAGCACTATACAACAAACATAAAATGACTAGACTTTAAGTTGTTCACACACTATACAAAATATCACAGTTTTTTATTCATAATATTTCACTGTGGCACAATTTAACACAAGATCTATTCACCGTACCTTTCAATCAAGCTATTTATTCAGTTTTATAAATAATAAAGAAAGAGGAAATTCACAAATAAAAAATATTCCATTTGTCACTTTTTATGGGAAATTTAAGAGGAGACGATGATTTAGGCTGCAATAATATCTAAAAATTTTAAATCAGCAGAAACACAAGTTGCAAATAATCATAAAATTCTTTGTGCATTTACATTTTTTTTTGTAGATCAGCTCTGATGACCAGATTGATATATTTGTGGCAAACTGAACATTAACACTTGAGATGTTCAGAATATTATACTTGCAAATTTTTTTCATTAGATAATTAAAGAAAGAGGTTCCATTGCATATTAAATTTTGAAATTTTAACCGTCTCAATGTAATAAATACCATAGCCATTGTGGTAGAATCTATATTTTCATCAATATATGACATTTAAAGTCCTAGTTAGTAATACAAATGTAGGGTTTGCTTAATATGGCCACTTCAATTACACGAAAGTGACAACCATCTATTTTACTTGCAGTTTTAAAACCTTTTTGGGATCCTCAGGTTTTGTTTTCATGATACCCATTTAAAACTGTTGGTTGACATAATAATGTTCATAAGTAGAATGCAGTGTTGTCAGATCCATGTAAGCAGAGTGTGGACATAGTAATTTTATTTTAATAATTGATCAAATACCATCTAAAATACAAAATTTTCCCCCAAACTTTTAAGTGTTGAACTCAATAATATCATGAATATAGGTCAAGTCAAATTTATCAAATGATTAAAAATTATGTATTTTTATGCACCTCTTAACATAACAGTGATTAAGTAATAACAGCATTTAACAAAGATTATCAAAAGTAATTTGGCACAAGAAAACAAATGTATAGTAAAACCTCATTTTTTTATGGATTCATGTTTCTTAAGACATTTTCTTCAGATACATGTAAAGACAGACAGGCAAATTGTCAAACTTTCATTGCATAAATATTTGTACATACATGTACTATATAAGACTTCATGCAGGATCAAAAGTCTATCATTAGTTTAAATATATACATCCTGTTATTTATTATTGATTTAAACTTTTCAGATTAGATGTTCATATATATATTTTTTATAAGCAACATGCGTTTTACTTATTTTCAGTTCTTCATTTTGGAATATTCATTCACAACATTAAATATTGTCGTTGTTCTCTGATATTTTCTTTTGTAACAGTATGATAAAAGTCACAATCGATAATGGAGGTACACAGAAAGAACATAACCAGAAATTATGTCAGAATTTGCCTACATAATGTCCTAAATTGTTTTTGAATTGAACTCGACCTCTATGCAGTTGACCTTTGACAATCTTTGCCAACATTTCTGAATTCTCAAATAAAGACTGCCCTTAATTTTTATTGAAAATTAAACCTTTTTTTAGAAATATTATTTTTTTACTAATTGCAATGGTTGAATCAGAATATATCTACAATGTAAACAGAAGTTATTTAAACATGCACTACAATCTGACTATTATTCATATAATATTCAACTTTTTCAAAAACAGTATCTCTTTACCATTCACAACTAATTTAAGCACTTTTATAGACCATACAAACTTAGTACAGCAACAATAATGAGGTTTTACCATACATACATTATAACAATAAATAGCATACTTAAAAAGGATTTTGTTACATTTCATCCTCTTTGAAATAACTTCCTACGAAGCTTCGTTTCTAAAAACCATTAATTACAACCAATTTAATGTTCCGTATACATGTATAGATATTTTTTTAAACTTGGATGTTATGATCCTGGTGCTGGCAGATATGTTTAATGCTAACCTTTTCAGCTTTCTTCAATTTTTTTGTATTAATTCTAATTCATGACATATATGTATACTAGACATGCTAGAGAAACTATGATAAAATAATTTTAAAATTTTCTATAGGTTACTTTTTAAAGTTTATCAAATTAAATGTGTTTCAATTTTGAAATTTTTTCTTTATTTTTCAGTTATCATGATATGGTAATATTCTGTTAGAAAAACTCACAAGGCAAAAAAAATAATATGTGTGTTTCCTATTACATCTTTGAAAAAAAATAGAGTAGGTAGGTAGATCTTTTTTTATTTTACCATATTTTTTTTACATTGAGTCTATGGGAGGGACATTCTGACTTTAACAATGCTTATTGAAAAATGACAAAAAAAACTTTAGGATAGGCTATTTTTGAGCTTAAAAATTAGGGAGGGTAGCTCTAGGTAATAGGAAACACACATCTTTTTTTATTTGGCCTAAGAACAAATAATCCATAGTTGGTGCGATCAACTTAACTCAGCAGATATAAATGTAGTAGCAAAAGGTTCAAATTTTCACTGATTGCATTGAACAGCGTAAACTACACAGAAATATAATATTTAATTATAACATGATTATCATCTCCATTTAAGTACGTAAATAAAAAACTATCTTTCATCATGTTAAACAAACAGTACATATATAGTTTTTGGATTTAAAAAAAAAAGTTTCTATAACTTCATTGAACTTTGTCTACAGAAAACTGTGAACATAAATTGGTTGTAATATAGGCATATATATTTCTGAGAAATTGAAGACTAAAGAATTTAAGACATAGACAATGATAGAGCTACAGTTGAAATGCATTTCTCCATTTGTCATTTGTCCTCGACTTCAAGGCAAAGCAACATATCAATGAAGAAATATAAATTCTGATCATTTTTAACAAATTAAAACCCTATAGCACTAAAATACAAAATGAAATATTGAAGCATAATATCCAGTGAACAAATTAACCTTCATTTTAATTACCCAGTGAGGCTATGTCAGCTTGAACGTCTGGATTACGATGCAGTTCATCTATTTCTTCTGGTTGAACACGCCGGTGTTCGGAACGTAATGAACGACCTGAACGATTAGATTTGTTACTTTTTGTAGACTTTGTAGATTTGGCACTTTTCGTGCTATTAGCACGTGTAGACATGCGATGGAGATAGTTCTGAGAAATTGTACGGTGTAGATTCTTGTTACTGGCCAGCGATGTTAACCATGAGTGGTTCAACGCCTGTGTTGCAATCATTCTATCCGCTGGATCAACTGTTAGTAATTTGTTAATAAACTCTTTGGCTATATCTGACACTTCTTTCCAATGCTGAAAGTAGAAACAAAATCTCATTTATATTCTTTAAAAGCTGAAAATTTATTCACATTTCAAATGCTGCAAAATATCCCCAAAAATGTATGACATTGTGCAGTTTAACATGTTTAAAGCAAATCTCCTCTCATTATACATTGTTATAAGGCATTGACGAAAATTTCAAGTATGCAAAAAATGAAGTGACTGCCCAGCAAATCTGAAAATCACTTACACGGTAATCATGGTAATCCTCATCATTATAATAATCAAGATCAAATATCAAATCATTCCATAATACAGTAGTAGAGTAACACAATATGATGATCATAGATGGCTGCTTAATGTCCAGCATAAAATGCAACATTTTCAGACAGATTAACTTACCGGCTACATCATTTTGTTCATGTAGGCTTATGCAGTTTACCACCCTCTCTGTGAGTACGGGTATAATATATGTAGTTGTCATTTTTAGAGTGAATTATAATGGTGAATACTGTACATGTTGATTCATTAGATACAATTTTCACAGATTTCAAGGGTAAAGGTCAACCATAAATTTAAATGTTCAAAAAAGTACACATTTTCTATAATTTCTGAAATTGTTACCCGCAATATATAATAAGTAAATTCACAGTATTATTAAAATTTTCTGTAATACCCCAGAGATGTATAGAATAGAATTTTATAAACAATTATACTGAAGGCCATACACGTACGAATGCAAAAATTGCTTACATCCACTTCATTTGAACTTGGTGGATAGTTGTCTCATTGGCAATCATACCACATCTCCTGATTATCATTATATATATGACTCAATCATATACATGTAGGTCCAGATTGAGTCAAATTGTTGTGAATTTTGTGTCTATATATATATATGCACGTAACCAATTTTAAATTTATCACCAAAAATATATTAAATAATATTAATATATGAAGATATGGAAACTATTGGGTTTTTTTTCACCATCTTTAACATCATTGCATAGTAAAGGTACATGTAAGTGTTGTGGCATACAGTGTACATGTTCACTGTTAACTTAACCTCTAAACAATGCTTTTAAAAAATCTGTTGTAATCCCATATAATATGTATTATACCATTTGTAAATTTTAAATTACTTTATAAAGAAATAAGGTCAATAGTTAAATAGAACTAATAACAATACCAATTCAATTCCACAATACTTTTCTTTCATAACAAAACACAATATCCTTTATTGTGTATTGCAATGTTTAATAAATTCACTTGTACTGGATAAATTGTTATAATTTAATTAAATTCTTATTACACTTGAAGAATCTGTCTACCTATGACTAAACATATTAGTAACACCAAATGACATGTTTTACTGTCCTTCTCTCACGAATCGTGTGTGGTAAAATATTACATTTAACCTTTGACAAGACCTTTGTACTAGATGTCAAAAACTCCAAATTTTTGCCAATGTTCTGTCTAATTGTAGGTAAACCCTTTACTGATATCTTAATCTTTTTTTTAAAAATATAATTAAATGAATAACGAAATTTTACAGACTTTCAGCCTATCAATCAGTTTTTCATACCAATATCAGAAAATTATCTAAAAACCCTAAATTTAAAGACAAAGGTTATATTATATTATTAAGCAATACATTTGTACATGCAATACATGTATCCGAGATAATTTCAAAAAGTCAGTACCAAACAACTACTTATAAAGGAATAACTTTCCTTGGAAACAAAAATTATGTGGAAAATTGCAATTGGAAGATCTCTCGAGTCACATTTCTTTCAGGAGTGTTATGAAATTTGTATCAAAAGTTTTATATCAGCAATGTTTGCCAGACATTCATACATGTACATACATATTACAATGTATCCTTTTATACATTTCAGTAACACATTAACAATTGTACAAATGTATTTCTTCACTTATTAGACATGTGTACCATAATATAACAGGTACATGTACATGTACAATGTAGCAAATTCAACTAAAAGCTTATTTGTTAATAAAATGCTCCGCAGGGCGCAGCTTGATACGACCGCAGAGGTCGAACCCTGAACAGTTGGGGCAAGTATGGACACAACATTCAAGCTTGATACAGCTCTGAATTTGGATTGTGATTAAATATTTGACACAGCATAGGTTTCTGACACAGAATGAATGTGGTCTAAGAACTTAAACATTTTAAATTGGACATTCACCTATTATGGTCCAATATCCAAAATCTAAATACATGGTTAGATTCAGCATATCAAAGAACCCCAAGAATTCAATTTTTGATGAAATCAAACAAAGTTTAATTTTGGACCCTTTTGACCTCAATGTGGACAAAGTTGATAATGGGGCCCAAAAATCAAAAATCTAAATACATGGTTAGATTCAGCATATCAAAGAACCCCATATATTCAATTTTTGTTGAAATCAAACAAAGTTTAATTTTGGACCCCGATTTGGACCAACTTGAAAACTGGGCCCATAATCAAAAATCTAAATACATGTTTAGATTCAGCATATCAAAGAACCCTAAGAATTCAATTTTTGTTAAAATTAAACTAAGTTTAATTTTGGACCCTTTGGACCTTAATATATACCAATTTGAAAACGGAACCAAAAATTAAGAATCTAAATACACGGTTAGATTCGGCATATCAAAGAACCCCAATAATTCAATTTTTGATGAAATCAAACAAAGTTTAATTTTGGACCCTTTGGACCTCAATGTGGACCAATTTAAAAACGGGGCCCAAAATCCAAAAACTTAATACACGGTTAGAATCAGCATATTAAAGAACCCCAAGAATTAAAGAATAAAACCCCATTGAAATTGGTCAAGAAATAAGCAATTTATACGAAGTATCTTCTTTTGCACAATACTGTGCAATTGAATATTTCTTGCTATTGCGCAATACTGTACAATTGACAATTTCTTGCTATTGCGCAATATTGTGCTATTGGATATTTCTTGCTATTGCACAATACTGTGCAATTGAAGATTTCTTGCTATTGTGCAATACTGTGCAATTGAAAATTTCTTGCTATTGCACAATACTTATTATATAATAATTTACACATAACAGGCTATTATTTGAACTTGGAATTATTTTTAATTATGGAATTTGCATTATTTCTTGTGCTTGAAATTTTTAATGAATTCCATGTTTATTCTGTATTATAATGTTCTGTGCTGCGCACAACACTTTCTATTACAAAGAAGATAGCACATTTTCATTAGAATGTACTGTGCCGCGCACAACACTATCTATACAAAATACATTGTGTGGAAAGTGTGATGCACCGCTCAAAACATAATAATACTTAATAAACATGGAATTTATCAAAAATTTCAAACACATGAAATTATGCAAATTCCATAATTAAAAATAATTCCAAGTTCAAATAATAGCCTGTTCCATCCTGTTTGGTGTGTATCTCCTATCATATCATTATTATTTGCTTTTAAATATAAAACGGAAATAACCAACTTAAAATGGAAAATTTTAAAAGAAAAAAAAAGGAAAAAAAGAAAAAAAAGGAACCCCCCCCCAAATTTTTTGAACCCCCTTATGATTCATCACCCCCAAACTCAATCCCAGCCTTCCCTTTGTGGTATGGTACCTTGCAGTTCAATTTTAGAGAGATACATACACTTGAACACAAGTTATTGTCTGGAAACTAGAAAAATGCTTATTTTTGGCCCCTTTTTGGCCCCTTATTCCTAAACATTTTGGGCAATTACCCCCAAACTCAATTCCAGCTTTCCCTTTGTGATATGGAACCTTGTAGTATAATTTCAGAAAGATCCATACACTTACACACAAGTTATTATCATGAAACTAGAAAAATGCTTGTTTTTTGCCCCTTTTTTGGCCCCTTATTCCTAATATTTTGAGGCAATTACCCCCAAAATCAATCCCAGCATTCCCTGTGTGATATGGAACCTTGTGGTACAATTTCAAAGAGATCCATACACTTGAACACAAGTTATTGTCTGGAAACTAGAAAAATGCTTATTTTTGGCCACTTTTTGGCCCCTAATTATTCCTAAACGTTTTGGGCAATTACCCCCAAACTCAATTCCAGCTTTCCCTTTGTGATATGGAACCTTGTAGTACAATTTCAGAAAGATCCATACACTTACACACAAGTTATTGTCATGAAACTAGAAAAATGCTTGTTTTTTGCCCCTTTTTCCTAATATTTTGAGGCAATTACCCCCCCAAAATCAATCCCAGCATTCCCTGTGTGATATGGAACCTTGTGGTACAATGTCAGAGAGATCCATACACTAACACACAAGTTATGTCTGGAAGTTACAAAAATGCTTATTTTTGGCCCCTAATTCCTTAACTGTTGGTACCATAACCCCCAAAATCAATCCCAACCTTCCTTTTGTGGTATTGAACCTTATGGTAAAATTTCATAGAGATCCATTCACTTAAACTAAAGTTAGAGTGCGAAAACCAATGTGTCTTCGGGCGACGCCAGACGACGACGACAATGCCAACATCATACCAATATACGATTTGCGGTCGTATAAAAAGCAACTATTTTTAATTAAAAATAAACCATGAATTTTGTTTTATTGATCTTGACAGCCATGACTGTTTCTTATTAATGAAGGTGCAGTACAAATGTATAAAAGAATTGAATCAATACATTTGCATTAATATATATAAACATTTTCACCTAAGGGATTTTAAATAAATCATATAAATATGCTTCTAGTATACATAATTATTCTCATGTCAGCTGAGTCCTGAAACACATCTGTTCTTATATATACATAAAAATGTACCAATACCGATTCCCGTCAATCTCTGTTCCTGCCTGATGCTTTCTTAGCTTTGGCACATGGCTGATGACAACAGTGATGCAGCTAATTGTCGGACCTGTCGGACCTAGGGGGCTGAATTTTAGAGGATCAGGCAAATGACGTCTTGGTGTCAGACCCAATGACCGGCAAATATTTTTACTGTATGGGACCATCAAAATTGAAATTTTCTTTTGGTCTTGGTTACCTTGGCTTCAAAATCAATTACGTAGTTGAATAGCATTGAAAACCAATAGTTCTGACACATTTATTGCTGATAATATGTGCATGTGCTCATGTAAATAGATTTCTATCTTCTCTGCGTTTAAGCAATTAGGGTCAGTCATGTGATAATAATTATTTTCGTATTTCTCTGGACTTATCATTACACATAGAATTGTATGAAAGCGAAAGAAAATATCCGGTAAAAATATTGAATAGAAGCATGTTTTCGGCTTCTTTTTGATAGCCGAGGGATAATTCTGATGATTACAAGACTCAGTAAGTGTTATCAGGACAAGTCCCACGGACACACGGTTCATGCAATGGCACGTCCAGATAAAAATCGATGCTTCCAGAGCAATTGTTCCAGAGCGTGAATACGCTACTTAAAGAGAACATTGTTATTAATATGACAAACACAGGTTTCGTCTCCATATGACGAATCAGTGGTGCATGAATTAAAAGAGTTGGAACAATAGATGGCCACATCAATTATGTAGTTGAAAATAAAATTAAGAATGGAAATGGGGAACGTGTCTAAGAGACAACAACCTGACCAAAGAGCAGAAATCAGCCCAAGGCCACCAATGGGTCTTCAACACAGCAAGAAAATCCCGCACCCGGAGGAATTGAAAACCAAAAGTTTTATTAATGGACAACAAATGACCAGATTTATGTAAATTAAACTAAACAAAAACAAGTATTATTTTAGTTATCTTAAGAGTATTTTTTTCATTTTAGTTAATGTGTGAACACACATATTCGTTTTGACGTTTTTGATCTAATTGTTCTTATGCAAATTAATAAGACAACTATCCATAAAGTTAATGAACAGTTGTAATGGTTGTCTTATTGGCAAGTGTACGTAGTATAACATTCTCATTTATCTACATTTTGTATTTGATGTTGCAGGACAATTTAAATTGAATGTGGTCTCAGTCATTAAACCACCCCATGGTCATATCCTTATTTAACCTGGTCGTTCTAGTCAAGGTTTAAAGGTGTACATGTATCTTCATCCAACTGGGAACTAGTTATTATTTTTTTCAATAAAGTACATTTTTGTAGGTCTGGCAAAACTGTCTTACATGCAAGACCCAGTCTGACAGAAAAAAAAAATTATCTGCATCTCTGTGACAAAATGAACATGATCAACCATAATTCTACTCATCTGGCATGCTACATGTAATGCCAATGGGTTATGCAAAATTTCCTTATCTTACATGTATTCAGGTAAAAATAATCTATCTTTACATGTGCAGGGGACAACCAGCAAACGGGAAATACATTTGTATTTTCCCAAATGAGAAATATTCTTCTAACGATAACTCTTTTATCCACATTTTACATGTACACTTCAAATGGCACATATTCATGATAAATGCAGCACTGTTTCCAAAAGAAAAATAGTTCTAACTGTCTTTTGTTGCTGTAAACATGTACTTTTTTTGTTTTTTTTTTTTCAATTGTACATAAATCAGGCTATTACTTTTCTACTTTGAATGGTTTTACATTGGTCATTTCAGGGCCTTTTATAGCTTACTATATATATGCGGTATAGGTTTTGCTCATTGTTGAAGGCTGTGCAATTACCTTTAGTTGCTAACTTCTTTCACGTCTTTGTCATTTAGATTATGGTGAAGATTGTCTCAATGGCAATCATACCACATCTTCTCATTTTTATATTCTATACTCAGCTGACTTACTGAGAATTTACTTTCAATAAATTGACAAATTTCAAGGCTAGTAACATTTTCAAATTCCCAAATAATAATATGGTTCTTTAGAAACATTTTTTTCATTTTTCTATATATTAGTGCCATGACTAATTTCAATTTTAACACATCAAACTATAACTCAATTGCAGGATTAAGACTGATTTTGGGAAAAGTTCCCCATTTGATAGGTTGTCCCCAACACAGGTTTTTGTTCATTATAATAAAGACTGCAAGAAACAAATACTACTGATAACTCACTTCTCCTACATAGCTGTATTTTGCCTTCAAAATAAGTCTGTAAAGCCTAGTTTTATTTTCATCGTCAAATGGCATAGTTCCACTGAGTAAAATATATGTAATTACACCTATTGCCCACATATCAACTTGACAGTTGTATGGTTTTCTTGCAATAATTTCAGGAGCAATGTACTCAGGCGTACCACATGTAGTCCGCATAAACTGTTCTGGTCCTTTTCGACTTGCACTGAGACCAAAATCTGTTATCATTATTTTTGAATCATGCCCTGGATGATAATACAATAAGTTTTCCGGTTTTAAATCCCGATGGGTTATTCCCAGTCCATGTAAATAATGAACACCTTCCAAAACCATTTTTAATACCCTAGTTGCATCTCTTTCTGAAAAAGATCCTTTGGCTATAATGCGGTCAAAAAGTTCCCCGCCTGTGGCAAGTTCCATAACCATGTACACTTTGTCTTTTGATTCGAACACTTCAATTAATTGTATTATATAAGTATGTTTCACTCGTCGCAAGACAGCAACTTCTGATTCAAAGACTTCTTTACCCTCTAACCGATCTATCATTTTGATAGCATATGGTTGTTTCGTGTTTTTATGTTCTACTCTCACAACTTTGCTGAAATTTCCTCGCCCTATTAAAGCCTTGATATCATATTTTGCCGTCACTCTAGGATCAAATTTGTCACGATATCTTTTTACTTTTCGATTTTGACGCTCACCCTCCGGCGGTGGGCCTGTTCCTCGAGGGTCTCTTTCCCTTGGCCTATCAGACCGTGTTTGTGTTTGAGTTCTACTGCCAAAAACTTCGACAACATTTTGGTCAGTCGGACCCTCCGGTACCAATTTACTATTTGGACATCCCATTACAAAATAAATAATAATTCACATGATACTGTCATTCCCTCGCGGTTAACCAAGAGGGCCATTCATGCAATAAACTGTAAGGGATAAGAATCATGCTTTAGTCTTCATGTAAATAATCTTTTGCTCCTCCATTTTCTTCCGATGAAACAAACATGGATGACGGGCACTTGGTCGTGATGTGTATTCCGCTGCTCAATATAGATCGGGAACATTTTATTTGCACAAACAAATCTTTCAAATTTCGAATATCATTTTACCAAAAACTTTTATATTGATAAATTTTAAATCAATATAAATATCATCTATTAAATTAAAAGATGTTTTTATTCGATCGTACTGCAATCCTTCCGCGTAATAATATTCAAATTTTATGTGTATTGCTTTTTGTTTTCGGTTATTATTAGCACGTGATCAAGTGATCCAGACGTCAGAAGTTGTTATAACTACTTAGGGTGCCTTGTGGGATTGTATTTAAAACCAATCACTCTGATAAACATTTGAGATTGCAACTTTAAAACTTCTGGTCAAATTTAACGACGAACAAAACATTAACATATAATTATTTCTTAAGGGAGAAAATTTAATTTCACGAATAGCAATGCTGTTTTTAAAACCCCAGTTAGAACCTTGCTAAATTACAATAACGTTCATTCATCTGTCCGTAGAACAATAACTACGGATTTACTTTGCACGTGTTTTTTCTTTTTCTTTGGTTTTTTTTTTTTTTATTTCTTTATCAATATCATATATTTGAAATCAATTTGATCCCCCCTTATTTCATGAAGGTATATATGTTTTATTTCCAATAAAAATGTATAGTTATATAGGTATATGTACAGTTTAAATAAACTTAAAGATCACACCTGGTAATAGTATAACCTGGGACATAATATATTACCAGTATACTTTCCTAGGTAATTATGTCCCAAATCAGACAGATTTCATATAGAGTGGTATTTATTTTAATAAATTAATAAATAATAATCATAGATATATAAAATAATATTCCACCCTCAGATTCCACCACATTATTAAGCATCACATGACCGGCGTCTTTACACTAAATCATGACGTTGGATGTGTACTGATTGATACTTTAGTCTGGAAGAACATGATTTATTTATAATTGACTGAAATTAGTTTTCACTAACTGCGAGTACTCCAGTCCTATATCAGTGCTTTGTGTCTCAACGGTTGTTTTTATGTTAGTTGCTTTTGTGCTTCGTCGTTCATTGTACTTGCCAAGGTCAGGCGTTTTTCAGACTGTTGATGAGTTCGTTATCTTAAATCATTTGGATGTGTACTAATTGATACTTCGTGTCGTCTATGAAAATTCGGGTGCGGGTCCAAGATTTTGAAAAGAGGAGGGGTTGCAAACCATCGTTTGGGTGATACTTGTAAAAAGTATATGCATTTATCATATACTTATGGAAAATAATGGTATAATTGTACCCCATGATAAAACTAATTTGTACATATATTTATTCATTAAATTTGAAGAATTGTCTTAGCCGTGTGATATGACTTTTGTTATCAACTGCTTCCGGTTATTATCGCATGCCTTTCTGTAACGTTATCGCATGGCATTTCGACGTCATTCGGCAAACTCCGGAAAATAGACCTCAATGGTACGTTTTTCGTGAAAAACATAACTAAGTTGGATAAAAAAAAATTATTAGGAATCAGGAAAATATATATTAAAAAATGCAAAACAAATAATACAGTAAATGCATTTTTCAAAGTTTAAAAAATAGTTCTTGTCTGTATGTCTTCTGCTGAAGTATATGATAAAAAGAACATAACATGTCATTTTTCATATCAGACCTCTTATCAGCCCATGGTCAAAATCATCCCTCGAGCCTGTCGGCTCTCGGGCTGATATCATGACCTAGGGCTGATAAGGGGTCTGATATGAAAAACGCCATGTTATAATCTATATTTATCATATATGACGCCCCATAAAGGGGCACCGGCTCCCTGCCCCTCCCAACAAAATACTTCTGAAATTAGTTGTAATTGGCTTTGAACTACATTAAGTTTTCAGTAACTGCGAGTACTCTGCTTATATCAGTGCTTTGTGTCTATTGTTTTTACAGTTTGTTCTTATGTTATGCTGTTACACAACTGTCCCAGGTTAGGGTAGGGTTGACGCTCAAAAACATGTTTAACTCCGCCACAGTCTGTATGTGCCTGTTCTGTCAGGAGCATGTAGCTAAGTGGTTGCCGTTGGTTCACTTTCATATTTGTTTTTCGTAAATTGTTTTGTTATAAATTAGGCCGTTAGGTTTCTCGTTTGAATTGTTTCACATTTTTCGTATTGCGCTGCGGACTAAACAGTATGGGGTTTTCTGATTGTTGAAGGTGACCATAATTGCTAATACATGTATCCATTTATTTGACATCTGTTGGATAGTTGTCTCATTGGCAATAATACTCACATCTCCTTGTTTTTATATAGTTAATGATCTGAGACAATATAAGACGTATTTGTCCAAGTTGATATGTATATTCCACTGCAAAACAACTGAATGATGTTTCATACAACCTGGGACCAATATATAAATGTTTCGTGTATAAGTCCCCGATACTAACAACAATCTGTAATGTTCATCTCCTGACGTAACTTCACACACGGGTTTTTCACATTCTTGCGTAAAGTTAACTTTGCCACATGCATGGATACACCCATGTGTAAGTTTAAGGTTATGTAACATGCAACTTTGTTTGCTAAATTGTGGCTCATATAGGTGCAATTTTGAAAGATTTTCGGTCAGTTAGTATCAAAAAGCATACAAAAATTAACACGACGTTCTCAACCATAACCAATGGGTAAATTCTGTTGAAAGTAAAGCTTCGTATTGTGTTTCAAATACAAATCGTACTCATTTTGGCCAATTCTTGCAAGTGTTCTTAGATTCAAACTATCATCAAAACTTGCAAAATTTGTAGTAAAATCTAAAAAATATTTTTAAAACTTTAAAATTTATTGAAAATAATATAAAGTATTTTATCGAAGCTGTTTGTTATTTATAATTCACTAGGTTTGATATTTATAATTCACTAGGTTTGATATTTATAATTCGCTAGGTTTGATATTTATAATTCGCTAGGTTTGATATTCATAATTCACTAGGTTTGAGTGACTTTTTAATTTCGACCCTGAAAGTGAAACAAATGAAGGCGATCTACTATTAATCATCCTTTTACTGGATTAAGAAGGGGGCTTTACTTTGCAAACAAAAGTTTTGGTAAAAAATCCCGTTTTCGAGGTTTTTTTATAGTCGGGGAGGGGAGGGAAGGTTATCTTTTTTTTTATTATTTATTTTTTTACTTTTTAAATTGAACAAACAATACAGAGACCTCATGCATCAATTACATATGGTATACATTGGTACATAAGAGGATGTTTCAGAAGTTTTTATAGTATTTTTATTCGTATTTGAACTTCTTTATATTTATCAAAATTTCGGTTAATAAATCAATATAAACAATTTTAATAACCAGTTTAACTTAGTCTTCAAAAAGAACATTAACACTGTACATCTAAGTAAACTGACGGTTTATTGTTGTCAACTCTGACCCAACATTTACCTAAATGCTTCCTTCTCTACAGCAACATAATACTTTCATGTAATTCTTCTGTTATAGTGATACATAGTAGAGGGTCTGGATGGGGGGTCCTCCATTTCTGTATTCTTGAACTTTTTAGACCTTTTTCTCTATTCTTTACCATTTGCCCATTATTCTCTATTCTTTATATTTTTTGACCATTTTCTCTTATATGTAAACCCCCATCCACACTCCCATGGGAGTCAGGTAACACCCGTTATTAAAATATACAGATATTTAGATCTAGTATACATAAAAGAGATGTGGGATGTACGACAATGATACAACAACCAACTTTTGGTGTCTATGTAATGTGTCAAGGGGGTTAAACGGGTTAAACGAGAATGCACGCGTTTTCGTGCTAGTCATACCCAAATCGTTTTTGAAAGTACTGGAAAACAGGTAGTAAGTGTGTGACAGATCCCGGAAAAAGCGCTAACACATTATAACTCATCATTGTAAAACTGCTGACCAAATATGAAGTCCGCATTCTGTTATGTAGTATTGGATAAATGTGTGATAAAACATTTTCAGTTCATTGAACATATTGCAAAATTAAAAGTATCGGAACACAGGGTGCAGGTATCTGGCAGATCCAAAAAAGTAATCAAGCACATATTTCAACTTATGACCGTCAAGCTGTTTACCAAATATGAAGTCATTCTGTTTGAAGTTTCTGGGAAATGTATGTCGAAAATATTTGTTGCACGAACGACGGACGGGCGAACAGACGGCTAGCGGACGAACGATATGATTGCAATATACCGGTAGTCCACCATTTAGAGTAGGGATATGATACTAATCATCGCACGTGACTGTGTAGTGTTCGGCTACAGGATATTTTGATTACTCTGAACAGCATTGTAAGCGCTCGCAGATAGTAAGAACAACACTGTTATTTAGGCATCTAAAAATGGTTAATCTGAATTTTGGAATAATTTTTTAAATCTGATTTGGAGAAAAAGATACTCTAACTTGAAGTTTTAAAAAGTACAGGCCGCGATACCTTTTGAGGTCGGTCACAATCGGGTGTCTTCGTTGACATGCAGATATGCGCCTTGATAACTTTTATTTAAAGGAAGAATTACATTCTTATAAAGATGTTTATCCCCGGCTTAGTATATTTTTAGGATTTTGATTGGTTAACGCACGTCGTTACAAAACCCATAGCCCCTGGGTGTTGCTAACCCATATACCCGGACGTTGCTACCCATTACAACGGGGAACATCACGCGCGTTTTCCTTAGTTCCATGGTTGTTCCTTGTGAAATATCGAATTCTGTAGATTATCCATAATGTCTGTAATTAAATATTGAATCAACTAACAATTTTATCTTATTATGTCGATCATTTGCACTCATTTTAGTAAATGCATCACTTGGCTGCCTACACCCCGTTAAAAATATGTCAAATTCCAAAATTTCAATAAAAGATTTTTAAAAAATGAAAAAAAACCTTGCTTTCACGTTTAATTTTGTGGTTGAATTTCTCTAAAAATCGCAAGATTTGGACTAAGACCGGGGATAAATTCGTTATCTACGTTCATATCCGTAGATATGGATATTTTAACACCCTTCAGTACCCTGTACACCCTTCGGCTTCGTAGATAACTTATAGCATCATCTTACTTGTCGTGTAACGCCAGACTTTGATTGACAGTCAAGTATAATTTCGGTATGACGTCGTAGCTCATACATCGGACCTTATATTTCATTCAACCGCCTATAGGTGGTCTTGTCGCGGGAGTG